ATATATAATATTATTATATATATATATATATATATATATATATATATATATATATATATATATAGTAACCACTTTATATGCTTTTTTTCCTGAAGTCAAAGGCATCGTTCTGTTTATATATAAAAATAAATATTATAAATAGGAGATATTATATCCAAAGATTAAGAGATAAAAACAAAGAGAAATTCAAACATAGACATGTTATAAAATATATCCGAGAATTCAATACCCTTATATTCTAGTTAAGAAATATGCCTTAAAATTATGTTTGATAAAGATATCCTAAAAGCATATTATCAATGAAATGAATGATTTGAACATGGACCTACATAAAAAATAAGACTATAATGCATGTAGTCCACATTAATCTATAGTGATGTAACCCAAGTGGAACTCCAATGTAAAAAAGAAAATTATGCCCAAACCTATCCAAACAACTCCAAAACTATTATAACATGTTTACGATCATTTTTTTTAATTTGTAACTATTTTTGGGTCGTTAACTAATGAAATAGAAGATTTCTACCTTGAATTTACAAGTATAACCCGAGTGTAACTCAAATGTAAATAAGATAATTATCTCCAAACAGATATAAACTTATTCAAAACTATGATAATATAATCTTAATATGTTTAGTATTATTTTTTTTATTTTATAGTTATTAATTATCGAAATAGGAGGTTTCTATATTGAATTTATAATTGAGTATAACATGCGTATAAACCGAGTAGTAATTTTACTCCAATCCTATCAAAACTTTCTATAATAATTATAAAAAAATTCTAATATATTTAGTATTATTTTTTCTATTTTATTTTTATTTTTATATGATTTTAGAATCTATTTTTTTTAAAAAAAATGTTCTATAGTTCTAAACGGTACTACCACTTGGACTAGGGCAATACTATCATCCTATGTCAATAGAGCACTAAATATAAGTGGTACCATTGTCACTAGATAGTGTTACACTAGCTATGGTTTTAAGCTTCTTTGAAACACAGGCCATGAGGGTGGTTGTCTTACATCTAACAGAGGACCATGGAATCATCCTGTAACCCTATATGATTTACACCACTATATAAATTCAATTGGAGTGGCCTAAATTTAATTGATCTATGTCTTAAATCACCTAAATATTTAGGTATTACGGTATTACAATAGTTAAGTGTTACATATTCAATTTTAGGGGGTGGGAAGGAGGGGGGACATTAGGTAAAGGCTTATTAGAGATCGTAGAGGAGATGTCTAAGAGGAAGTCGCTGGATTAGTGATGTTAGAGAGAAGTCACAAAACCTATTGTAGGAGGGAAATTAGCACTGACGAAACAAGAGAGGAAGGAGTCAAAGCTATTGAGGATAGGCTATGCAGCTGGATGAGATACAAGTTTGTCGCCTACAAGTGCAATCATCAAAGTGTTGAATCTCATATTTTGATGATGAAATCAATTGATAGTGTTTATGATCTGATCTACGTTTTGAGTGACGCAGAAAACTTCGATCAAGGAGAAATAATTAAAGTAAGAATAATCATATTGGGCCAGAGTGGAACATATTAGAAGATTGGACGTCGAGCCGAAGAATTGGTCGACGTATCGGCAGAAGGCTTCGGGCCATGGGTTCGGGCATCGGGCCAAGAAAAGCAAAAATTATACCAAGGAAATCATAGTTGCGGAGGTCAATTGGTCGATTTGGCAATAGGTCATAAGAGAGGACGATGCACTGAAGAATCGAACGAGGTGTCAATGAACCAATGACATGCCAGATAATATTTGATTTAGCTTTGTAATAATTATCTAGATTGAAGTAGGTTTTAGCGTAATTGGGTTGGAATTAGGCCACCTCAATTAGGGGCTAAATGGGCCCAAGTTTGGGTTGTGTTGCGCCAAGTGAAAGGTCCAAACAGTGACCCAAACTGGTGGAATCGTCGGTGGTACAGTCCCCAAGACTATGTCATGCGGTGGTATCGCTAGTCTGGGCGATAGAACTGCCCAGAATCAGTCTCTGAGATAGTGTCAGGCGGTAGTACCGCCCAGACATAATCTCCCAAGCGATGGTATTATCAGACTGGGTGGTGGTACCACCCAGTGTTAGTGTTGCAGACGGTGGTACTGTCCAGCACAAGTGGTGATACCATTAGGACTCAAAAAAATCTGGGATGAGACTTTTTTTTGCTCTAATTTTGAAGTCATTTGGGGTCTATAAATACCCTAGCTATTCGTACATGGAGTAGTAGGAATTGAGCACAAAATTGAGTTAAAAAATGAGAAAAAATACTTGAGAAAAATTGGTAAACTCTCTTAGGATTTAGGATAACTTCTTCCAAGTATTTAGAAGTTCATCTAAAGGAAGAAGTGAGGTCTAAGAAAAAGAGGCTTGTAAAGGTTGTCTTCTAAACCCATGAAAAAGAGAAAGAGTGTAAAAAGGTAGTTGATCTTCGTCCGTTAAAAGAAGATTATTAGTGGATGTCGGTGACCTCGATAAAAGAGGAATCGGGAGTGGATGTAGGTCACGACGATCAAACCACTATAAAACTCGATTTGCATTTAATTTACCTTTATTGTAAACTGTCTTACTTGTTTTACTTTCTCTTTTTCGTATGTTTTCAAGTTAAACTCACATTTCAATTTTTATCGAATCCTTATTTTCAAGTTAAACTCACATTAATGGGCTAAGTTTTGAAAAAAAAACACCCTTATTTTCCCGAGAATTCGCCCAGTATTAATTAACATATTCTTAAATAAAGCGTTGTTCAAGTTTCCAACTACAATAATACTTGTTTATCATTGACGTATTTGTGAAGGCCTTGTTCCCCTCTCTGCTTCCTCTCCCTATTACTGCTGCCTGCAATCCCTATTCCTCTCCCGCTCCAGATCCCACCCAATACCCACCGGCGGGTGGCGATCCGATAAGGGCCGCGGAGCGGCGCTGGTCCGATGTCGTACGCCGCCGCGGTGAACGTAATGCTGGCGGTGCACGAGAAGAAGACGACCGCTGTCGATCTCTACCGCCCTCTCCGCAACTACATCGCGTACACTTTCTCCGAACACGACGCTCAGGTCGCCGATGACGACCTCCAGACCATCCGACAGCTTCGTCTCAACCTCGAGAAGCCCTCCCCCTCCTCCCTGGACCTCCGCCGGGACCTCCTCATCTCGTACTTCCGCGCCATCGCCGCCGTCGAACCCCGCTTCCCCATCTCCCCCGACCGATCCCACGTCCACTCCCTCACCTTCACCTGGTTCGACGCCTTCCGGTCCAACAAGAAGGCCGCGCTGCCCTCTATCCACCTCGAGAAGGCCGCCGTGCTATTCAACCTCGGCGCTGTCTACAGCCAGATCGCCCTCGCCGCCGATCCCACCTCTGCCGCGGGGCTCAAGCAGGCCTGCAACGGGTTCCAGAGTGCCGCGGGGGCATTCGCGTTCCTGAAGGATCATGCGGCGCCGAAGGCAGTGGCTGCGGGGGCCACGGTCGATTTGTCGGTCGAGTGTGCCGTGATGCTGGAGAAGCTGATGCTGGCGCAGTCTCAGGAGTGCTTCTTTGAGAAGGTTATCGGGGATGCAAAGCCCCCCGGGCTTTGCTCCAAGGTTGCTCGTCAGGTATATCTTGAACTCTCTCGTAGATTTCTTTTATATATTATGTTGATGTTTCGTTGCACATAAAATTCTTGTCATTTCCAGGAAGTTCCTTTTTGTTTTCTGCTAATCTTAACTATGGGCAATTATGATATTATATGGCATATGCAATTTATATATATCTTCCTTGATAGAGCATATTTGATGAGAATCATTGTTTTAATTATGGCATTGAAGGACGTAGTGATAAGGACGTAGTTATTTGAGTCTTCCATCTTGCATTCCAAGATCCTAAACTTCCGTTTGCAGTTTTATTTAGAACTTTGCTGTTACAAATCATTAGTTGATGCTGTCATGTTCATGATCTGTTACTTATTGTACTTTAATGTTTTTTCCTGTTAACTCCAAGCTACTGTTGCATATGTTGTTTATTTTCTTATCCTTAGATTCTTGCTTGTCTAACATGTTTAAGAATTCATAGTCGTGATGCAAACTGACAACATCTTGAGCATGCTTCACAAACCTCATGGCATTTGGTGTATGTTGTAGGTTGGAGTCTACTATGAGGAAGCATATGCAGCGCTAAATGCTTCTCCACTCAACCAACATTTTGATCGGACATGGATCTCTCATGTGCAACTGAAGGCAGCCCAATTTTATGCTGAGGCTTGCTATAGATACTCTTTGGAGCTTCATGAGAAAGAAGAAATTGCAGAGGAAATAGCTAGGCTCAGGATTGGGATAAGTGCTCTTGTCGATGCAAAAAAATCTGCCAAGGGTGTAGCTCAACCTCTACTTGATGCTGCTAACAAACTAGAGACCAATATGAATCATAACCTAGAGAGATCTGTGAAGGAGAATGATCGGGTCTATCTCATGCGGATTCCAGCAGCTAGTTCTTTGGCAGCTCTTCCTGCAGCATCTCTAGCAAAGCCCATTCCTCTGGGAGAAGTTTTAAATGCTAGCAAGGAGAAGTTTTTCTCAAACCTTGTCCCTGACAGTAGCACAAAGGCTCTGTCCAAGTACACTGATATGGTCGACAACATTATCCGGACCCAGCTGGAGAAGCTACAACAAGGGAGTGAGATAACAAGGGTTAAACTCAAGGAGATGGACCTGCCAGATTCTATCCTGGCGTTGGAAGGTAACTTAAGTTTGCCTTTGGATCTCACAGAGGATGTAGAGGCAGTACAAATCAGTGGTGGACCATCTGGACTGGAAACTGAGATACAGCAGCTCAGGGACTTGAGGAGGGTCAATCAGGAGCTGTTGGTCCAGGCAGAAGAGCTACTGCAGAAGGAAGCAAATGCAGATGCACAATTCCGAAACCAGTTTGGAACAAGGTGGACTAGACCACAGTCAAGCACCTTAACAAAAAACCTACAGGATAGATTAAACAGGTTTGCTGCAAATCTGAAGCAAGCAGCTGATAGTGATTCAAGGATTGATAGGGAAGTAAGAGGCAATGGGGAGCTCATGGCAATCCTTGATTCTAGACCGGTATGCATGCTGTCAACGGGCATATACCTGTCTATTATGTTCAACCAACTAGCTGCAAGTAGAATGGTTACTATATTGTCCCATTCATACTTTCTTGGTATTCCCTTGCATCATTACTGATTCCTATTAATTTTTATAGCGACCGACAGCATATGATAAGAAAGTGTATCCTCTGTTGACTTGTTTCCTCCTTACATAAGCTTGCTAACAAAATATAAGATTAAACAAAATATGTAGTATAATGATTTATTTGATTGCTATATTCCTGAAATTGTACTAATAATTGAATATTCTCTTTATTTCATATTATTCTTGTATATATACATGTACAACAGTCTGGGATTATATGCAAATCTATGTTTGTATGTGGAGAGGTACATACATAAGGTGCCTTTGAAGGAACACATATACAAATTAAAGCAATTTTTTTAGTTTTGTGGCATACCCTTGCCCTGGTAAAATGCTAACTTGATGCATCATGCATGCTAGTCGGAAAAGTCCATGTGCCAACTCACACATCTTATAGCTCACATGTGTATTTTTCTGATGGTGCTTTGTTAGCGTAGAGACTCATGGCATCCAATATATGCTATCCTTGATATGAAGTTATACAGGAATTAACACAGAAAACTCTGTTCTATCTTTTTTCCTATCTCTTTCATTATAAATTATATTCATAAAATCTAATTATGGTTTCTTCATATAAATTGATAAGGTCTCTCAAGAAATCTGGGATCTAACTAGTTCAACAGTTGTAAACTTCTCATTTCTTACAATATTTTGCAGATTGAATCAGCCCTTCCAAGTCTTGCAAGGCCTATCATGTCTTTAGATGGAAATGAAGATGCTATAGTGGGAGCTCTCAAACAGAGCTTGGTATGTACTGAATTTTGTTGTATTTTGGAAAAAGGAAATATTGCAGTTTTACTCTATTTGTCTCTGAACTGCAAGAAGTCAGTTCTGCTTGACTTTGATATGTGAGATGCACAGCCTCAATTTTGTTTGGCTTCATATGTTTGAATTTCATAATGCATCTGTAGCTTTTCCTTTTAGTTTTTAGTTTAATTTTCTTGAAACTCATGGAGCTCAATGTGTTCTTTGGAGGCTTTTGTTCATTTGACTTGGGAACCTTGGGGCTAGTGCCTAGTAATAAATTTCTGGTAATTGTCGATAAGAGTAGGACTCTCCTTTATATAGTTGACACTTAGATCTGTTACCAGTAACAATTTCACATTTCAGTTAACTGGATAATATATTGGATCTGGCTGTGAATTCTGAAGTTGTTTGATCACATCAGATGCATGCTTTACTTGCTAGTCCATGATAAATGGTAACTCACTAACTCCAGTTAATTCCGTTTTGATATTAAATCATAATTGTCTAATTTAACACCTTCTGAATGTTCCTTTAGTTATACTTTTGTGTTAGCTTATTTTAAGTAACCAGCATTAGATCAATATCTCATTTAGCATCTATCTTGAAACTCTCATGAGATATTATTCTACTTCTTGTTTTTGGGGAAAAAACAAATTTTTTAGGCTACCAGTGTCAGCAGAAGTAAAAAAACGATATTTGAGACTTCTATTTCTTATGGTGTCTTTTGAACTTCCTTTGTTGTTCCATGCCTTAGTATCATTCTCCTGACACCTACTTGTGCAATCAGAGGCAATTGGAGAATTTAGGAGAACAAAGGGCAGGCCTTGAAGATATGCTAAAAGAGATGAAGAGGAAGGTGAGGGCTGTTCTCAGAGACATTACCCTACTTCCTAACATTTGTTTCTTATGTCTACTTTATTATATTCTTGTGTCATGCTCATCTTAAGATTATATCCAGTATGAGTACTTTTACTTTTTAATCTTTATGCAGTATTTATTTTTATGGTTATTTTCACATAACTAACTTGGGTTATCCAATCGTGATCCTGTGACACATGGACTAATAGGAGTAAGCTTTGACTCAAACACTTGAGATGAAGTTTCTATTAACAAATTTAATATGAACTAAACCAAACAAATTTCAAGTTTGAAGAAATTGTTTTGCAAAAAACTATGAAGAATCAGCTGTTTCAACTAGATAAGATTGACCAAGGAGATCGATGCTGTTTTGAATTTTCTTAGGCAGATTTTGCCCCTTAAATTGGTTAAAGCTGCCAGTTTGTCACTTTCTGTTGGTTGTTCCCCGGGAAATGAATTATCTTACCATGCAGGTTTATTGTTCATTACGCACATGATTCTGGTAAAGGGCCACAGTAGGCATGTAACTCTTTACCACAGATACCAGTGCATATCACCTAGTGCATGTGCATGCATGCATTTGTTTGCATTGCTCATTCTTTCCTGGATGAGCCTTGGCATGGTAAGTCACGATGTGTAGTGTGTAACAAACCACAGGGCCATTCTTTGACTTGGTGACAGGTATGTTAAAATTTAATCGTCGCTAATGAGTGATTGATTTTTAGATCTAAATTATATCTGAATGACATCTACAAAAAATTTTATACTAAAAGTCACATGTAGTTGATTTTTTTTTCTTTTCCATTAGGAATGGTGCAAGTTATGTCCTATTATGGTTTTAGGAAGGCCAGTGTTATTGGGAACTAGTAAGTGGTTGTGCAACTTCAAGGTCATTCTCACAAAGGTTCTAGATTGCTGCTATTTTTAATACACTGTTGTGATATATCTTTTTGTATGTTTATTCTTTTATGGTTTCTTTGGAGAAGACTTATGCTTTTAAAGATATTAATGAAGTAGTACGTATCTTTAGAGATGGATTATGAAATCAAATGGCTATTTTCTGATGATAAAAGCTTTGAGACATTTGGTCCCAGTAAATGCTTCTTAATTTCTCACATTTTAACAAGTACAGTATTTGTTCATTTAGCCAATGTCACTTCTGTTGCAGGATGATATACTGCCAAAGCTGATGGCAAGCACTGGATCACAAGAGGATCTTTTCAAGAAAGAAATTGCTAAGTATGACCAAATATGTGAAGAAATTGCACAAAATATTGAGGCACAGGAGCAAGTATTGCTTCAACTTCAAGTAAGCTATTGTCTTCTTCCTCTTCAGTAACAAAGATTCAACATTATGTGACAGTTTTTAATTTACTATCTTTCAATTGTTTGGTTTCACAATCACTACAATCATTATCATTAGATAGAGTGTGATTTGAGTTGATTAACAATGTTTAAGTTGATGCTTTGCAGTGAATAGGCTAATGATTAAGGCATTAAGCATGTTGGTCATTAAATATTTTAATATGTTGATTAAAGATTTAAAGTCTTTAACAAGTATCACTTGTCTTGATGCAAAGCCCATAACTCATGATCTCTCTATTATTTATTTATTTTGGTAGGGCTCTTTGGATAACTAGGATCCACCACGAGCAATGTGGATTTCTACGGATGTCATAAGCCTACCAAACCATTTCTATGGTTTCATGATACCCTATGCCCCTCACTGGACCAAAAATTCACTGAGATTTCACAAATTGTTGATATTTTGATATTATATTTGTCAAGAACCAACTCAAAGACTATGGATAATATCCCACAAAAGATTGCCTAAGTACTTTCTTTATGAGGGGTTTTTTGGTGTGTGGGGATGTTGACTTTAAGCTATATTTTGATGTCATAATAAGAACAATGAAATTTAACTGAAGGTCTATGCCTATGATATACCTGTTATCCATTTTACTTTATCTTAATTGTCCTTTTTCTCAGCTCTCTAGGACAAAAGATAATCTAGATTTCACAAATATTACTAGTGGGAGTTTGAATTGATAGTGCAGGCACTTTGTACTTTTCTGGCATCCATATTAAGTCAGAGTCTTTAGTGATATTATTTCTAATATGGCCAGACAACTGACCTGTAAATTAAGGCAAACCCATCAGCTCAAGGACTGCCACACTGCAAATTTCTGCTCCTCTTAGGTCCGCTGATAAATTGCAGCTTTTCCCAAAGGGATAGGGACCATAAGCTGGAATCAAGAAGCTGAGTATATGACTTCTGTATTAATTTATAGTTTTTTTCCTTTATTTCACTCTGAATGATAATTCATTTTATTCTTGTTGCATATTTCTATATTTTGTCTCTTATGTAACATGGCATTGCTTGAATGTAGTATACATTTCTTGTGGTTCACTATGATGATCATGCCTTGATATTGTTTATGATCCATGTTCTTCATTTGTGTTGATTTTAACTCCAGCAATGCACTAACAACGATGTTGCTTAAGATTTTATATTCTTTCTTGTGTTCACCTGCAGTCAAAAAATGATGACTTTGCTGCTATGTTCAATCTGGAAGACTTCAAAGGTTCTGGTCCACCTCCTTTAAGCTGATCTAGATACAGGAATCCATGAATCCTTTCTTTTCTTTAGTTAGTTTTTGAATGAATTTTATCCATCACCTCTTTTTGACTCTCTTTAAGACTTCTAAGTACAGGACTGCTTGAATTCTTGAACTGCAGTAATAGTGTATCTTTGTATCTTTGATGTGGATATTATTTTCTCTGGTTCTGCTCATGGTTTAATGCACATTATTGTTCTGTGGTTATTCATTATCTTGTTCATGCTTATCCTTAAGAGTCTAAATTCTTGGGGCATCACAAATATAAACAAAATTATCTGTATTGCTTTTGATGGTGTATGTGCTATATTTTTACAGAATTTTCGGTAACTGTATTCACTTTTTTTATTAATCTTAATAGTTGAACATGGAAAAATGAGCATTGTTACTATGGTTGTAATTTGTAAAGGTTTTTAAACTGTTCTTCTTGCTTCATATTCTGTAACTAGATATATGTTACATGTTTCAAACTAATGTGTTGTTGGAACTTAATGCTGTGTTATGATTGGCAGTACTTTTTGAAAATTTGAATAAATTATGTGCTTATGCAAGATAAGGAATTAAATTGCCAAACTAGCCACAAGTTAGGATAATTGTCGACAACTTCTGATAGTGGGTATCTTTAACCTGCTATCCTTAAGAATTTTTTGTCCGTTAAAGTGGATGTAGATGAGTTGCTAGCACTCTTCTACTGTACATAGGAGTTGCATAATTTGCAGCTCTGGTTAAAGTGCAACAGCTTTGGTATGCATCACCCAAAAATGATATATTAATGATTTAATTCTCGATTGTTGTTATATTGGAGATTTTTGTGCTAAAAGAATTTTGATCTGGCAGAAGAAAATCTAACGAGCAAAATGTATGGACTGATATTGATATGCTGACTTTGAGCAAAATGTATGGAAGTTAATGAGATTTATACTGAGAAGGATGAAGCAATATCACAGGATTGAACATAGGGATTATTGTGTTGTATATTGCAAGGGTATCATAGGGCTGTAATTGGATTGCCGTATGTTCCAAGAAGTTCATTTTGACAATGCACCAAGGTCTTCATTCTCTTTTATGCAAATTAATCAAAGATTAGTTTTATAGGGTGCGAGTTAGAGACCGTATGCCCTTTTTGTTCTTTTTTCTCTATAATTTTGTCGTTTGGACAATGATCCAATTCATGGCTATATGAAGTTCCAACAATGGTGTTGCCTTGGCTTTTTTAATAAAGATAATCAAGGTTTAGAATATGGACCTGATCAATATGTAACATCGGGATGTTTACTGACTCATATTATGTGGTATCACCCAAATAATAATAATAATAATACTGACCAGTATCAAACCATGTTGATGCTCACCGTACTGCCTGATATTTGAAACCAGCAAGTTAATTATACTTATTTTACTTCATTCATAGCTTTGCTTTTTAACTCATTTGATTGACTTATGACATCAATTTTTTTCGCTCATTTAAGTTTTAATAGTAAAAATTTCTAAGTTCTTCCATATGTTCTTTTTTTTTAATTGAGCAGTATTTATGTCAGTCTTGATCTGCTTATGTTATGTGGACTGTAAACATTATTACTAGCAAATGTTTATCAGCTAAATTGTACAAAGATCAAACAATGAAGTTTTTTGTGTTGTGAAGTTGATATTTAGTTAATTATTAATCTGTATTGAATGATTTATCTTTTATTTTATGCTTATGATCATTATCTTGACATAAACTGCATTGTCTTTGTAATGTTAAGGTCATGGTCTAAAATCTTCTTTTGTCCTTACTAAATTGAGTACAACAACAACAACAAAGTCATACGAACAAAAATATGATCAACTGAGACCAAAAGCAAAAAAATTTATCGTCCACCAGCTGAATACATGTGATCCAAGACTTTCAGTCAGATTTTTGACATATTTGAGCTAATCCTGCATTTAAGTGAAATTTGATATTACCATAAGCTTCAGTCATTAAATTGTACCTCAATCACTTGGATAAAAGGATATGGCTTTTTGATTTGATATTTGAACTGTAGGAATAAGAATTTAGTTCTCTGTTTCCAGTCAATATTAAATAACTTTTCTTTTTTTCATTAGTATGCTTCCAGAATTTGTACACCTTTTATTGTATTTGAATTTATTTGCCTTAGTTCCTCAAAATTTTATTGCCAGTTGCCCGTGAGAAGAGTTACAAACAGATAGCTGCTGCTGTGGCAAAATATCGGGAAATTAAGGAGAACATCAATGAGGGTTTGAAGTTTTATGTTACTCTTCAGGTATACAAGACCTGCAATTTGTTTGTATGAATATTTTAAACGTTGTTCTCACCATTCTTTTTTCTAAGCGTCGACCAGTCCAGATTGATTTCATCATCCAGGTCACAGTCTGTGGTGCAGCCACATCTCAAATCCCTTCATATATGCATACTCTTGATTTCATCTCATGTCCCCTGACTTCATGGCCTTCTCTTATATCATTCACATGCCCCAGTCATTGCCTCCATGAATTTCTCTGCTTGCACTATATGCCTTCTTCAACCATCCAACCATAACTGCTACTGTCATCAAGACTGACCACCAACGTTCATCACCAGCAGACCCATGTTTGAATCCAACAACTCTATCACCGGCAGCCTTCTCTGAGACTGCTGCATATCATGCATCAGGATAGCAGGAAAATCCCTGTTATGGCTCAGTTGGGCATAGCAGAGAAACGGTTGCAAATCAGGTTATACGGTCTACGTATGATGTCTTGGACTACCATTATGACATATGACCACACTAGTTGTAGTCCAAATGGCTGCTGGGCATGTTTGTCAAATTACTATATTATGAAATTTTTGGAACCAGAAGTGATTGGAGCAATGAATGATTGTTTGATATGTCCTGGTCAATGATCCTCTCGTTTTACTCAATGCTGCCGATAGCTGCTTGACTATGTTTAGCATGTTACTTGCATTTGCAGGAATATAACTGAACTAAATTTCCAATCTGTTTTACAAACAGGATGCACTTACAAATGTAAAGCAGCAATGCAGTGATTTCATCATGACCAGAAGCATTCAGTGCAGAGAGCTGATCGAGGACGTGCAGAGGCAGATAGCTGGACTCAACTTTGCAACTGATGGGAAAACAGGCTACAACTACCCTTCTGGTGGGCAACTCAACCATTCAAGGACGGATGCTCAACAAGCTGAACCCCAGACCACACCACCTCCTCATCCTCCACCAACTTATCAGCATATACCTGCGGAGCAGCCGGGGCCAGGATATTTGCAGCCATACCCTTCCACTGGGCAACCTGACCATCAGAGGAATACTCAACAACCTGAACCACAGAGCACTCCACCTCCTCCTCATCATCAGCCATCCTACCACCGTTTACCTGCAGAGCAGCCAAGGCCTGGATATTTGC